GAAGGCTCCAAGGCGAGAGGTAGTGGAATGTATATGAGGAATTCAAAGAAGTCTGTTCTGCTGTTCAGCAAAAAAGTAACATAAAGACAAGGAAAGGCAGGCCACAGTATGGGAGACAGTGTCTGCAAAACACATATCTGACAAAGGACTTTGTATCAGAATATTTAAAGAATTTAAGACAACCTATTTTTTGTTGTTGCAGTTTGGCCAGGGCCAGGTTCGAACCCACCACCCTTGGCATATGGGGCTGAAACTCTACCTACTGAGCCAAAGGCGCTGCCCAACAACCTATTTTTTAAAGTGGGCAAAAGACTTGAATGGCATTTCACAAAAGAGAGCATCTAAGTTAGTGGTTATCAACCTTCCTAATGCTGCAATGTATTTTCATTGTTAAAAAGGGGTCACAACCCACAGGTTGAGAACCACTGATCTAAGTGGTCGATAAGCAAATAAATGAAAAGTGCTCTAACTCATTAGTTGTCAGGGAAAGACAATTTTAAAACCACAGTGAGATCTCTCTATAGAGCCAACTAAATGTCTTAAATGAAAAGCACTGACAATGCCACGGATTGGCGAGGATGTGGAATAACAGGAACTCTGATGTGTTGCTAGAGGGAGTTTAAATGGTACAACCACTTTGGAAAATTGTTCGTAGCATGGTGGCTGTGCCAGTACCCCACTCAGAGCTCACTGCAAGAGTCTGCAGTGTGGAGTGTCATTGGCCAAGAGACTTCAGCTGCTACAGCTTTGGGTCTACTTGCAGTGTTCATGCTCACGTAGATCACTTAGCATGAGGGTTCCCAGGCCGTTCCTGGCCAATGACTGTGTGGCAGAGGCACTAGGATCAGGGCCATTCCGGCCTTACAGTCTGCTCTGGGGCTCCCTGTCAGCCTGACTGAAACCGCAGTGCTCCCACAGTTGTCAGACCTTCATTGTCGTCAGGAGATTCTTCATGCCTACTCTTGTTTCCTCTCTCATTTATCCTGCGCAGGAACTTTCCCCTGTTAAACTTTTGTACATCAAATTCCGCCTTGGTATCTGCTTCCTGGAGCACCTGAGTTAATAGAGACTATTACTATCTCACTCAGTAATTTCACTCCTCATTTAGTTAGTTCCAATAGGAATGAGTGCTTATGTTCACCAAAAGATGTTTACAGAATGTTTATAGCACTTGTGTAATAGTTAAAAAAGGACCAAATGTCTATCAATTGCAGAATGGATAAATGAAATTGTGGTTATCTATAGAATGGACTATTGCATTATTACACACAGCAATTGTTATAAAATAAATTGTTTGTGTAATAACATGAATAAACCTTGCAAACATAGTGACAGAACATAGATGACCAAGAGACCTTATAACCGAGGAAAGAAATTCAGAAGAAGAGAGATTGTAATCCATCCCCTTAGATTTATGAAAACAATTAGGGAATTAGAGTGGGGATCTCTTTGAAGACTGTGATAGACAGCTATTAATCCTCCCCTCCTGGTATTCATGCCTTGCATAATCCTCTCCCTTTGAGCATGGTCTGGACTTAGGGGCACTATCTTCTAAGTTGTTATAGAAAATGTAAAAGTAATGGGATGTCAGTTCCAAGGTTAGGTTACACAAAAAAAGACTATCATATCTCCCTCTCTTGCTTTCTCTCAATCCTTGCTCTGGGATAAGCCAGCTGCTTCTTTCAGAGAGGTGTAAGTGTAAAGAAACATAGCTCCAGCCAATAGCCAGAGAGGTGGACCTGAGGTCTGCCAGCAGCCAAAAGGGTGAACTTGAAGGAGGATTCTCAAGCATTGGGATACTCCCCTGCCAGAGGACACAGCTAAACTGCACCCAGATTCTTGGGTTTCCCATAGAAAATAAGTTTATTGTTTGTTTTAAAGTGCTAAATTTGGGGTAATTTTTACCAAACAATATACAATTAATATAGTAACATTGCTTATTATTGAAAATCACCATAGTAAGCTCCTGAAAATCTGAGTGCAAAGCTGACAATCTCCAACAAAACTGTGTTTCTTCTTAGAGACAGGGAGAAGCACATACATGTGTTTTTCTTTTAGTTTTGGCCACCAGAAAGCTCAGAGCCAAACTTATGGCGCAATTTTAATAATTGTGCAAGTCCTTATGGCCTGCTTATCTGTGTTCTTACTCTTGGTCTTTCATTTTATTCTGATATGTCTTTTTTCTCTTGGTTCTAAGTTTTTGGTTCATCTTTACATTTTTCTATATTGTATGAATTATGGTAAGCCAACTAAAATTCAGGTCACACAAATCATTTTTTTGTAAATCATGTTTTAAAAAAAGTTTTGCACATGTTGAACACAAGATGCCTGGAGGTGGCAGTGGGAAAGATCAGGTCATAGGAACGTGGTTCCGGAGCTCGGGGATTGGGTCAGACATATCAAGTGATAACGACAAAAAAGGAAAAAAGGATAGCAATTGATTGTCGCCCCCAGGGGGAGGGGCCAAGAGCTTGTCAAGAGCTGCTTTCCAGGGGTATCGTGGAAATTTATTCTTTGCATCGCTCCCCTAAGGTCTCCCTCCCCCGCACTACCCCGCCCTTTCCCTCTAGCTCCGCCCCTCCAGCGCTGGCCCCGCCCCTTCCCTCAGTCCCGCCCGCCGCGCCGCCTTAGTCTCCGCCAGAGGGTCCGGCCTTCTCGGCGGTTGCGCGCTCCGCCCCCTCCCTCCGCGCCCGCGCGCGCCTTCCCCGCCCTTCCCAGCTCACTCCTTACGGGGCGGTTGGGCCGCGCGCCTGTGGGGGCGGGGCCCGGAGGAGAGG